CAAGTATTTTATTTTTGTTTATAACATAAAACGTACACATAAATAAATTTTTATATTATATTTATAATAATGAAATTTAAACATCAAATGTCACTATACATGTATAATATTACCTCTCTATAGTAGCCATGAATTTTTCGGACAAATGTTGCAACTGTAGAGAGGTTTGACTGTACATGTAATTTGTGTAGGCCTTTATGCTTGAAGGTATATATGAGCAAATGAAAATAAGATAAGAAAAAAACTAGAGGAGCATTTTCTTATTGGTTAAATCAAAAATCAAATCGTTAAGGACCAAAAATCGATAAATCAATAATCGATAATCAATATCATATTAGTTTGATTATCAGTGTAGCATTTTTACAAACCAAAAATTGATAATACACAAAATCGAATTGAACTGATCGATGCACAACCCCTAATGTCAAGAACAGTTTAGGGGTTTGGAAGGTCGTTCAGCTCAACCTCTCAATACAAAATTATGCTCCCTTTGTCCCAATTTCTGTGGTATCTTTTCAATTTCGAGATTCAAACAAGTCTATTTTTTATCGTAATTTTTTTATATATCTTTTAAATATTTTGAATTATCAAGTTCTTGTTCAATGTGTTTTTGGGGCCGAGATCGTGGCTTTAGCTGGCAATTCAAAACCAAAAGCTATGATCCTATTTGGGTAGAGAAGCGACCCAAACTTGTCGCCAATTGTAGGATCGGGCTCAAGTTTCGCCGCCATTTGCATGCTGGTGGGTTGGGGTGTACAAAATCAAACCGAAAACCGAATTAAACCGCAAATCGAGTCAAATCGAAAAAAAATCCAACTAGTGGTTTGGTTTGACTTGGTTTGGTATTGGAAAAAAAAACCCGACTATATTTTGGATTGGTTTGGTTTTAACTAAAAAAAACCAACCCGACATTATATATGTACTTTTAAAATTTTATTTTATACATAAAAATATTTACTTTGATATAATTTTAAAATATTTCTTATACTATTTCATAGATTTTATCTTTTAATATATTATTTCAAGTTTAAAAGTTAGAATTCTGAATGGTCCAATAAAGATTATAGTTCATAGATGTTGATAATTATAATAAAACTTAAATCAAAATCAAATTAATACTAATGCAAAAAGAAAATCAATTCAACACTAAGAATGACAATAATATTGAATATTAGTTTTACATTGGTTTGGACAATTCAAATACATAATCTAATTTTAATTT